ATACAGGACCGCAACCTTGTCGAAGAGGTCGTAGGCACTCTGGGGAGCCTGGTAGATGGACACGCAAGCTGTGCTGTCGAAAAGTTCGGTTTGCAGACGGAGGGTCTTGCAGAATTCGATGGCGTTGGCAGAATCCAGACCACGGGTACTGTTGTCCCAGCATTGCAGAGGAGCTCCAGAGAGGGCTGCCTCGGCGATGGTAACACGTTTGCGTTCACCACCCGAAACACCGCGGATATACTCGTTACCGACGCGAGTGTTCACGGTATGCGAGATACCGAACATGGCCATAACGACGTCTCTCAGGTGCTGGGCGAAGTCGTTGCTGCTAATACCCTCGGGAAGTTGGCGGGGTTGGCGGGCGCGGGCGGCGAATGTCAAAGTGTCACCAACAGACAGTTGAGGAAAGTGGACGTCCACTTCGGCCGTGTAGATGGCCTCACCACGGTGCTGGGTGTGCATCTCCTTGGAAGTCATTCCTGAACCCTGTTAGCACCTTACGATTTACACGATGTTACACCAGGTGGCGGTTGCAGTGTCTTGCGGCGAGTGAGTAAACTCGACGCCAGCCACGGTGAACCCCTGCAAGCCTGATCTCGGACTTTGACGCCACTTACCTTGGTAGTTGAAGTAGGAACTATCGTCAGTGTAGAGACCGTTAGTCTCACCCGCGATAGTCTTCAAGAAAGTCGAGCAACCAGAACCAGGAGGACCCAGGACAACCAACATCTCGCCCTTGCGAACAAGACCGTCAAAGTTGCGAAGAATGTCGATTCTGGTCTTTCCACCTCCACCAGTAAGCTTACGCGCGAGACCAGCCACACTAAGCCAGATGTTTCCGACATCCTTTTGGTAGTCGGTGGCCTGGCCGAAGCCAAAGACGTTGAGATTCTGGAAAGCGACACCAGAGGTACGGAAGGAAGCGCCGTTCTGCTGGACGAGGTCGACCATGGCGCGGGCCCAAGCACGGCCATTGAAGTCGGGCGAGTTCGGGTTCAGAGGCGACGTCTCATCGGCGAAGAAGGGGTTCCCTCTCACGGTTCCGGTAGCCGAGGCGTGGGAGTACTTGCGGGCAAGCGACTGCACCAAGGAGTGGCGGCGCTCCATCTCGGAATCCTCATCTTCACCCTCGGCGGAGATTTTGTCGCTATCGAAAGGGGCCGAGGACTTTTTGGGGGCTTTGTCGCTTCCCGCTACCTCGGTGATTGATGTGGCGGCGGTATCGACGGTGTTCTGGTTGGCAGCAGCGATATCCTCCTCCTCGTGATGGTTGCTGCGGGCCGAGCTGATAGGAACGCCAGACGTCTGTGCCGTGCTGTCGTAGTTGGGAATGGAAGCCATCCCGGCGAAAGCCATGTTGGCAGGTATTCGTAGGGGACGGAGTCAACCGCGATCCCAAATTATCGAAAAGTTGCGCTTGTTAGTCGGTAATGCCGTTGGTTTTGCTGGGTGTACAAGCCACCACCCGCTCGACACAGATGTGAGGATCCTGCGTCTTGCTCTCTTTGCAGCGTCGATTCCACGACGGCGCGGTCACTTAATTATCTTCGGTATTAGGTACTAAGGGCCCAACCAGACAGATAGACTGGCAGAGGAGGTGTTGATTGAAGGACCGACGCGAAAAAAAGGAAGTGGGGAGGAAAGGAGAGAAGACGTCGAAGGTGACGGAAGAGGAAGGGGTAAAAGAAGCACCTCAGATGAAGGTAGTGGTGGGAGGGCTACGAGAATTAAAGAAGAAGATCCCAGCAGTTCGGGGTGACCAGGATGAAAGACAAGTGAGGTACCTGACGGCGGACGAAGTACACACAGCGTCAAGGAGCACGCCCCGGTGGGAAAGATGGGACGGAATGGAGCTGGGCCGGGAGGGTAAGCATGGGGCAGGCAAATGAGTAGGTGCTTTCCAGTTTAGCCAGAAGAAGGATATTGAAAAATAACAAAACAAAGCAACTGGAATAAAATAAAACAAAAAATGCCCACCCACCACTACCTCAGGTAAGGTACCTAGGTAAGGTACCTAGGTAGGTAGGGACTTCCGCAAGGCAAAGGCCAGCCAACAACAGCAGAGTGAATACCCTCCGCAGAATGCACCGAAAAGTCTCCAGGTCCAATGGGGCCAAGGTCAGAAAATCGAAACGTCCTGAAAAGGATGTCCGCTGGCGTGCAGTATGTTGGCCAGTACGTACCTGCCCGGCAGGGATACGATTGCGGGACCTTCTTCCATTGCTTGGCTTGGCCCAGATGCCAGATGGATGGAAGGGAAAATGCGACGGGTGATGTACCTTCCCACGCGGCAACACAGCAAAAGATACGAAGCTTGCAGCTCAAAGATACGAGGTACGTACCGCAGTACCGCCGTACCTCTTTCTCACTCAGGTCTCTACTGCGTAGAGTTCTGTCCCGTAGCGAGGATGACGCGCTCGACGGGGCCCACAAAGTCTCCAGAACCCCTAGCTCCCTTCTCTAGCTCTTCGCTCCTGCTCTCTCACTCTCACTCTGTTGAACTTTGAAATCCGCAGGTACACTTCGCAGTACCTACCAAAGTAAAGTTCCATGGAAGGCGTGGTGCTAATCCGCCAGGAAGAACCCACCACGTCCGCCGAATCGACGGTCGGCACCCTGTGACAGATGTATTTCAAGCAGGTGCGGATGAGGTGTTTTCTTGCGCAAGTACTTCCAAGTTTGCGGACTTTGGCTCAACATCACTCCATCACTCCTTCAGCCTCGACTTGGCAGATGACTCTGACCGTTTGAGCGCATTTGCCAGCGTCCAAACTCCGCCAACAGGGGCGTAAGCACCGTCGAAATTGGTCCGCTGCCACGTGTTATTCGGTCCAACACAGCCGGCGCTGAGAAGCACCAAGCTCGCCATTCTCTGTAGATGTTCAGCCCCGGCTTTACATACATACACCACGAGACTTCTTACCATCACCGAGAGTCAGGGTCCAGCCTGTACGGCGCAGAGTTAATGACGAACTCTAGGCTCATAGACTCAAAGCCGCCCCGTTCACCTGATATGCGGGGGGTTTTCTTGAGCGGGACCAATAAACAACCATACCTTAACCATATTCGAGAAGCTTTTACCGCCACATGCAGTCCGCAATATCTAGTATACAACGTCTGCAATGCTGACATTGAAAGTCGGACACAAGACCGCAAAGTCGGCCGTAAGACATTTCAAGTCCGATATTACAATGGTACACAGATTGATTTTTCGATCCACCCCAGACTAGCACCCATACAGATACAGGTATGAGTGGAAACACAGGGTCTTGGTATACCCGTCTCACCGGCCCAGACAAAAAAGGGACGGAGAAAGAAACGTCTGTATGTCTCTGTCATCCTGAGGTCCAACAATCAAGTCGCAGCAGGGGCCCGGAACAATGCCCTGCGAGACTGAATCCTTGGTCCCCATCGGCATCTTGTCAATTCCCGAGGCCATGATACCAATTGCCCGTTCCCGGCGCAAGCAATACCATTTGGGTAGCAGATCGAGAGATGGAGACGCCAGCCGCCAGGGAGTTTAGCCCTCCATTCGGGACTGTAACACGCCGTCTACGGATTACCATTTCCCTGCAGTTGCAGTTGCATACACTACGGACACAACAGCTGCTGCTGCAGGCTGCATCCAATCCTGGGGCACAATTGACATATCATGTCGGATAACACCAACAACAGCAACCCAATGCCAGCAGCATAGTATGTCAGACTGTGCAGGCTTGCCAATCTCACCTCATCCCGGATATCCATGGCGTAAATAGGGCAACGAACAACGAAGCACAGGTGTCTCGCACTCTTGAAACTCCAACTGTCCGTCCAAGACTGCCCATCCTGTCACCCTGAACTCTATGAGTAGCACAAGTATTTTGTAAGCATCAATCTGAGCTTCTTACCCCTCCATTTCCCAGCATCGTGACAGGCACAGCGTAATTGACTTGGGTTGCCCCTCGAAACGCCCTATCAGCCCGATAATCACCCAATGAGGCTGCTCAAACTGTACCGACAACAAGGTGAGAGAAGGTTCCATTGATTGAGGGTGTGAGTATCCACGACAGGTTGGATGGATGGCACGAAAGACTGGCACAGCCCTGCTATCGGGTGTGATCAAGACTCCTTTTTCCACCTGGTTGAGGTACGTACATGGAATATTACCAAAGCAAACAACTTTGCAGTTCATTGACAGTCACAGTCAGCAATGCAGTAGTGATCGAGTCTTAAGTCTTGGCCCTGTTCGATTTACGGATGTTCATACGAGCGGAGCACCTGCAAAAACGATGTCCATTGGGACCACTAAGAATCAAGGAGGGGACATCCCCTATTGGGCTCCTGCGGCATTCGTACCTGTCTCTTCTCATTTGGTTTATTCGTGAATCGTGGTTGTCAATTGGACGAGCAGCTGCCTCCTCTCGCAGACGCAAAGTGCCTTCTTTCCCAGATTGCCAGAGTTCACAAGTTCCCGCTCCCTCGGGCGGCCCCACTCATAGAGTACGTACCCTTGTGATGGCCCATTGAAGAAGCAGCGAGACCCGCTCAGCGTCCAATTGGAAATTTGACATGGAGCTAGAAGGGCGCCACTCATCGATACGTACCGCTCGCTTGACCACAAAAAAGGGGTGGTCGCCAACGAGCCGCAAGCGAGGCAGCCACAGAAGCGTGGTGCTTGCCTGTCTCGGGTTCTTCGAGCACCCCGACAACCCGCAGGCGGCAGGTCCGCAGGTGAGCCTAGCGATGTGAGGTGGCTCCTGCTTTCTCCCGACTGAACCCACACGGTACACCTGCGCCTGCCGGGACTCGCCATCCGTCACCGGCCACCGAAAACGCTTGACGTCCACGACACCACAAGTCCGCACCTACAGACATTCTTGACGTGAGAAATTCGTCTCACCAATTAATTGATTATGGCCGATCCAATCTTACACGCACCAGGTGAATACTATGCTACCAATTACCATGGAGCTTGAAGTTCGCAGTAAGCCTTTTGTGCCTCAGACCTATCCATCGACATGTTCCGGTATGATGGCACGCTCAGAAACCAATGCTTTGAACACGTCTAACCCTATGGACACAGCAGAAAGACAAATAAGCAGTTCGAACTCAGGGTAGTAAATATCCTCGCGCACTCTTCGGAAAAGATGCGCCTTGGCCCGATCCTGGCCACGTCGCAGCCCGTTCCAACTGGGCGATCAGCACAGCCGATATACGACGATTTACGGCAAACGCACCCACCCCTGGGCCCTGGCCCGCCGCCAAACCGCAAACCTGTCCGCCAGATCTGCGTCACTCAGATTCCCACATGCCTCGCCCACCGGCTCAGGGCCCCAGGGTCAGTTAGCGCTTCAACATCACAGACTTCTAAGTACCTTATTATTAAAGAAAGTTAATTCTTTCTAAGTCATAAGTATAAGAATATAGTTTTAATAAAATAGTATAGTACTTACTTAGTACTTAAATTAAGATACTTTTTTAAGCTTATTATAAAAAAAAGATAATTATATTATTAATTACTTATTATCGAGGTTCGTAATATTATAATTTTAATTATAATAGCTTTATTTATAATAAGTAAAAAGTCTAATTATAAGTCTTTTAAAAGCCTTTTTTTAAGGGCTATAAGAGCCTCTAAGTTAAGTTAAAATACTTATTAAAATATTAATAACTAAACTAACCTTATAATAATAGCCTTAATAAAAAAACTAAAAAACGAACTAAGAAATAATATTAAAATTTTTATTAATATTAAGTACGATTTATAAAAAATAATAACGTAATTATAGAGTATTAGTAATATATTTTATATTAAAAAGATTATTATTAATATTAATAAAACGGATAGGGCCGTATTAATATAGTACCTTAGTTTCTTTTTATAACTTAAGGATTATAATTTTAAATAGTATTAGAAGTTTATTAAAAAGCTCTTTTAAATACTCTAATATATTTATTACTATTTTTATAATAATAAAACTCCTAGTACTTATATACGAGCGTAGGTTACTTATTTTTAAATAATAATATTAGCTTATTAATAAGTTATTAAAATTACGATTTTAGTAATTTTTTAATAAGGGAGAGGGTAGAATAGAGGAAAGGATAAGTAAAAAAAGGGTTAAGGTTAAATAGTACGGAATTCGAGGGTAGGGTAGCGTCTATATGTACTGCGGCAATCCTCTAGTAATGCAAAACGATGGAGTTAAATAGTGAACATCACAGACTTCGAACAAGAAATGCAGTACTTTCTAGCCTTCAGCGCAACACAGACTACTCCGCACAGTAGACCCGTCCAGATTAGATTAATTAGCTTCGTCCGAGATCTGTCTCCCGGTTCCGACTGGAGTCATCCACTCCGACCGTCATGGTCTACCGGGCGGGCTGCACCAGTACTCCGAGATCCACGGCACATTCTTCCCCTTGTAGTCTTCGCCGGGTCACGCAATCCACATGGCATGACGGCAGCGAGCAACGCCAGACTAGGTATTAACAGCAGCCGCCGCGAGACAACGTCTTAGCGAAGTCTCACTACTGAAAGAGTAAACAATAGACTTCAGACTTTGAGTTGTCCCTCTGAGCTCAGAGCCTGTCGTCCGTCTGCTGACTCGTCCCTACTCCCAACACCGCGACCATCTAATTTTCGTCCTAAGCGACGTTTGACTACCTACCACGTCAAGGCTAAAGTAGTTACAAGCCAGGACCTTCGTTCACAAGAGCCTCCCGCCCTTACACCAGACGAGCGGAATAGGAAGTCAGGGAGTGGTCTAGTGTACAAAGCTCTCTAGGAACAGCCCCTACCTTGAGACTTCAGCAGTCACCAACATCCCACCATCGGGGACGAACACCGAGTCCGATCCCGCCACTTGCTCTGCATCGTCCATGTCGTCACGGGCGTCTCTTCCCGAGGAATTTCATGGCGGCTCCGTGGTCTCGGGGTACCACCACCCGTCGTGACTTTGGCCGATTTAGATACTGTGATAGATGTCGGCGGCTGAGATCGACATTGGTACCTAGTGTTGGATCACGATGGACCGAGGTTTCTGATTCCCCGATGCGTGTGGTGACGCTTGAACAAAAAGATACCTACACGCGATCACGGCCCAATACCGATACCCCGGATCCGTCGCTACTGTCCGGCATGTGTTCCATCAGCAACCCCAAGTGCCAAAATTGGCGCATCATCACACTGATGTGACCACCCTAAGTGGCGGCTATTCACAGGCGGCAGGCGGCAGCAACTCCGGGAGGTACAAGGATGAAGGCATCCATCATCCAGTCCCAATTGTCACCAAATGTCGATGCAAAGACGCAACAGGGTCTCTCAACTTCCAATCCAGTTTGGAATGTCACCTAGCAGCGGCAGCAGACACTTCAACAAAGCTGTTGACCCATGGGTGTTCTGGACGCCTGGTCTTGCCTCGAGCGTGCATGCCAACTACCTTACGGTACACAATACGGATACCTCTTGTCGAGATTGCACTGGCTCGTCTGTTAATATGTCTGCCGTATCCACAATACGAACGCGAATTCGAAAACGGGACGGAAACACTAATCAACGCGACTCGTCAAACTCGCCAAATCACTTTACCCCAACAAGGCAACGCTCATCAGCATTAGAGGCAACCCCCACAGTCAAATCTTACGTACCGCCCTTCACCCTTCGCGCAGCCAAGCAGACGCTGCAACGCGAGAAACGCACCGCCCGTAAAAACCACACCCGGCCGAGCCCAGTCCATCTAGCGCTGCTCGGCCCTGCAACCCGCACCACACCCGCTCCCTCTCTCCCTCTCTATCGGAACTGTGTGCGTCAGCCTGAGCCTGAAAACCCCGGCTCTTGGTGATCTAGCATCCAGTCGGACCAATTCATTTTTATAGCTTTCTGTCGGACTCCGGGATCGACCCGATTTCACGCCCATCCCTCCACATCGCTCAGAGAGGAAGACATTGCCGACCTCCGTCTTTTCCCGGCATCACTCATAGTCATCCGTCTGACAAAGTCACATCCGCTCCAGTACTGCCCTTGATGAGATCCGACCATTACCCGGACTCTCACAGCCAACAGTACTCCCCTATTAAGACTAGCGCAACCATCCCAGGCTTCTTCCCTTCGGCGGAAGCTTCTCTCCACTATTGACAACGGATGATGAACCTGGAAAAGAACTTGCACTGCGCATCGGCAGCAGCACGGTCTTAGTAGCACTATTAAGTTTCTGCTATGTTTGACAATCAGTCAACTGCATCGACAGCCTCGGAATTCACGTGCAGACTTTGTTGCCATTGCCCTAGACTCACAACCTTCTTCACTTTCTCGTACACGCCCTACTCTACCTAAGTCATGTTGATGTTGGTAACCTCGCGGCAGACGGAAAGCGTATCAACGGTCCCATATAAACATCCGGGGCTAAGATTGTGCTTACCCCAGGTCCGGACCTGATCGGACATAGGCCTCACCACGAGCCTACATCTACACCAAAGACAAGCAAGCACCATCCGAACTAGTCGAGCTCCGCCCCCGCAACTTGGTAACGGTAAGCTGTTCAGATGGGTCAAGGCTGATGCTGTCCCAAAGGGGAACGACCGAGTCGTGTGATGACTGATTGTGCATGTGCTCGGAAACCTCGGCCTGCATATCATTCGTGGTAAAACGCGGCAAGTGCCGCTGAAAGCCTGGTTTCAAGGCATAGGAATAAGGTGCTGCGTTTCTCCAGACCACATCCGGCCCGCCCCGTAAGGTAAATAGTGTCTGTATGGAGAGACTATTTGGGCAATCCACTTAGTTATACGCAGAGACGCGTTACCCTTGGCTGGTTCGTTCTACTTATGGCATGAGTCGCATCGCCCTTGACAGCCTCAATGGAGGATAACAAGGTTCAACGTCATACCAATCAACGTTTGTCGTCATGCTTGGCAACTCGCCCATCAGCTACCTCGAAGTTCAGGCCTGAAACAAAGCAACATCACTGCTATTCCACTTATCAGCGGGCAGTGAATTACAGCCGATAAGCCGACTCAGCAGTCAGTCTGGCGGGATCCCTGGTTCAGTTGTGACAGATGATGCCCTGTAAAACTCAAGTTCAGACCGTCGTAATTCCGCCTGATTAATAGAACGGCCTTTGTGTCTCGTCTTATTTGGCCGAATGTCGTTCTCTTTCGTGGTGACAGCACTCTTGTGTACGTCATGGCGACCTATGTGTCACCACCTACAGATATTTGTGTCATGACAGTAAGCGGGCGATGAGGTAAATTTTGTGGTACTTCTTGATGCGAAGCGTGTCTGTCGCATAGCACCTCTAGAATCTTGGAGCTGGATATTGTAGAAGATGAAACCGATGGAGAAGCCTCCTCTTTCTTCAATATGACTATTGATTCACTAAGACTGCGTACCTTGTTCGACACGTATAGGCACGTACTTAAGTAAGGCTCTCGTACTGGAATATATGTCGTTGTCGTGCCACTCAAGCGCTCTTAGACGGTACAAGGAATTTAGCTCCTTCCATCGAACCAGTGTCTGACTTCAAGGATGACGCTGTTCTGTCCGAAGCCATGAAGCTCAGACCTACCAGACGGACAGCATCGAACGCGAGACCTGTAGAGTGAATGAGATGAAGGATACGGCTGACTTTTCCATGTCTGGTGCAACTTCCAGCCGAACCGCCCCTATTATAGCTTCGTGGCGTTGGTCTGAGATTGGCATAAACTATGGCAATTGGATCACACCGCTATTCAAAGGCTGATAATTTGTGATATCTAAGGTCGTGCTCGGAGAGAAGACTCAGTGCCCGGTGCTATCACACGAAGCGGATGCCTGATGTTGAGAAGCCATCAGCTCGTGCCTCTAAAGTTAGTCAAGTCGATAGAATGATCAAGCTTCAGTAACTAAACGCTGAGAGTCACGGGTTGCACTGCTTCTTGGTTGAGGTGGTTATTCTGTGTTGAGTAGTCGAATGTTGTCGTGGATATCCTAGGTAAGTCATGGTGGTCCTAACGAGCCATGTATGGCTACATGATCAATGCTACCGAATTATATGGTATTTTCATCGAATTAGGTATTCTGTAGTTGTCATTGTTGGTTGTATGCTCCAACGCCCATGACGATTTCGGGTAATATCACTTCAGGTATTCCAGGCTGTTCCACATAATTACATATCAACTCATCCATGATCACCTTGAACGGTAATGTGCAAAGGATATGAACTAACCTAAGATCCCAAACATGCCATACACGATGAATGTGATGTGTATCTATATAAGGCTATTACGATTTAAACAGCCTATGCCTGGAAGCAGTAGGCTTGTAGAACCGCAATATTTCGCCGACAAGCAGCTGACTTCACTTGGGTAAAGTATGTGGTCTTGCTTTGAACGAATTTTGCAGTCAAGAATCGTATGGTGTCTTTCTTGAATGGTATATTGCCTCAAGCTTACTTGTTTTACTCAAGATGACAGTATGGTTCTCTGCAGGCCTTGCAGCAACATGAACCGGAACATCCATATGACAAGACTATAACGACACCACCTAGCTCCACTATTCGTAACAGCAGACCCTCCTTGGGCCACCTAGTATCCGTACAAGTTCACATTCTCCGTGGTGGAGGCCCGAATCCTCCGGTTCTCCCTAACAAGCAAGACACGGATCCACCAAGCGCAGAGAATCGAGAGCAAAGCGAAGCCAGCAGAGGCACCGAAGCCAATGGCGTAGCGGGGCTCGTCGCTCTTGGGCCAGAGGTAGGCACCGTAGATGTAGCCAATCTGGCCGCCGACGTTGGTCATGGCGAGGACGACTGCCTTCTTCTCCTTGGTCTGTGACAGCGTCGAAGAAGCCCAGCCGATGATGACGGAGTTCACTACGCAGAGAGTCAGAAAACGGGTGAATTTTGAAGGGAAAGGACAGGAACTAACCGGCATAGGCTCCCATTGGGAAGATGAAGCAGGCAACGTAGCGAGCCGCCGTGTTGAGTGTGGAGGCAGCCACTACGAAACCGAGAATCGCGACGCCGAGGCCGACCGTGATGTGCCATGTTCTCTCGTGAAGTCTGCCGGAGCTCCAGCCGAACAAGATACCCGCTGCACCGGCGAAGATGAACGGCGGGCACGTCATGACGAGGGTGATGGTCGTGTTGAAGCCGAGAGTCTTGACAACAGTCTGGTTCTCGTTAGCCATGTACCTTCAACCACCCAAAATGAGACAAGAGTACGTACGGGGAAGAAGGAGTTGAAACTGCAAGCACTCAAATGGAAATTCTGCATCAAACAGAACAGCCACGTCCTCTTGTCCTTCACAGCCTGCTTCAACCCATCCATAGCAGAAGCCTGCTTATCATCCGAGTCGGACAGCTTATCCTTCTCCATACGGGAGTGAGCGAGCTCGCGCTCGCGGTCGTTGAGCCAGCGCGTCGTCAGGGGCGTGTTGGGGAGGAGCCAGAAGCCGAAGAGGGCGACGAGGCCCGTGGCGGCGCCCTCGACGATGAAGAGCCAGCGCCAGCCTGCGATGCCGTTGAGGCCGTCCATGCCGGCGAAGATGCCGGCTGCGATGAGGGAGGAGAGGCCTGTTGCGAGGATCTGAGCGCAGTAGAGGAGGGCGATGCGGGAGGCGACCTCTGTGGGGGGTGTTAATTGATGATCAGAGAGAGAGATGAGGGGGCTGACCTTTGCGGGTGTAGAAGATTGATAGCATGTATGTTGCGCCTGGGTAGAACTGTTCCCGTGTAAGTGAAACTCTGTGGCTCGAATGGGATTTGGCATGACTTACAGGAGCTTCGGTGATACCGAGGAAGAATCTGCAAGCAACAAGACCTCCGTAGTTCTGGACAAGTGCCGTGCATCCTAGATGTCTGTTAGACTTGGTGGCCACGTTGTAATTTGACAGATTTCATACCTGAGACGACAGCCCAGATCAACATCCATGCGCTCATGTACATGCCGGGTTGAATCCTGGTGATCAACATGTTGGACGGAATCTGCATGAGAACGTAGCCGACAAAGAGACTGTGATGCTGTTAGTCGCGGTCATCCTCTGTTTTCCTTTACCAGAGTTTCTTTTCTTACATCGAAACTGTGGTATTGAACTCAGTTCCAGACATGCCCAAATCCTTCTCCAAGTTGTTCAGTCGTGCCTGAGCAATGGCGTTACGATCGACGTAGTCTGATTGGTCAGTCAGGTAATCCGATGATGGAAATTCGAGCGGGGAATCGTACTCAAGAAGTACATGATACAGAGTGTCGGCTGTTTGAAGGAGTCGTTAGATCTAGAACGAGCATCTGCGATATCAAGAGGTTTCAGAGACTTACCATTATCCGCCAATCTAGCTTCCGTACCAGCTTGATCTCTTCCGGGTCGGTCTTCTTCGCAGACCCGGTCCAGTCGCGGTTCTCCTCATCCTGAGGGACGGGCTTCTCGTCCATGATCACACTATCGACGGTATGGATAGCATGCTCTTCGCGCTCCACCGAAGGTGAACGCTTCTCGCTCGCACCCATTGTAGATTTTGCTGATATTGATATCGTGCTCGGGCCGTATTGTGCGCCTAGCAAAGTCTGCTTTTCGGGGTTGGGGGGATGTCAGAAAAAAGAGGGATCAGCGGGGCTAAACTCTGCGGTGAAGAGAGTTGCGGTCTAAGAAATAAGCATAAACGAAGATGGAGTCACGGCTTCTTACTTTGTTCTGCCAACCAACCCAAAGTGCTGGACAATCAGCAGGAACGTGGTATTTATGAACTTCTCAAGACTGTTGCATCGTTGATACCCCACGCAAAGGTCATTTCTATGAGTGACCCCCGAATCCGGGGTAACTGGATCAGCGGGGGCAACATTTGAGATCCGGTGCGTTTAAGAGGATAGCTGGGGAAACGACCCATGGGGAAGGGACCAGATTGCGACAGATTCCAACAAGTCGGAGCCGCGAGTCTGGGCAGCAAACGCGGGGTTCTCGGTGGTTAGATTTGGGATCCGAAGGGAGAAGAAAGAAAGAGGCGGTCGATGGGAATGGATAAGGGCAAGGGGGGGGGGGGGGTTCGATGAGACAAGCCGTCTAGAGGATAAGCAGGAGATAGCGTGCGAGGACAAGAGTCAGTCAAACCCACGAAGCACCAACACCCGCCGCCACTGGAGAGGTTGGAGTTGGTCAGCCACTGCAACTGGAGAGTGAGCAGCAACCCACATCACCCGAACTGTGGAAATGGGGAAATGGAGCCCCGCGTGCCAAGGCCCGAGGGAATGGAAAGTGCTGGGGTTAGCTTGGGGTTAGTGGCATTAGGGCCAGTTGCGTTGGGACTCTGAGACCGGGGATATGGAGAGGTGTGTGAAAAGGATAAATATGGTTCGTTCGGAAACATGTAGGGTGGATCAATGGATCTCGAGGTGCGTGGCCGGAGGCATGGACAATGGATGGTGGACAGCTAGGTGGGAACTTGGTGGTCAAGGACGATGCATGCCATAGCAGCTGGGGACTACTGAACCCTCTCTGTTTCTGAGCGTCATAATGTTTGATGACAGTCGAAGGTATGGTTTGGCAGTGGTTGACAACCTGCTATGTCGGGCATTGCCGTTGACGAGCTCTCGTAGGCATTGAGCAACCCTGAGATGAATCAGCAATTGAACCTCCACGCTCAAATGAATCTGGCTACGACGGGATTTACGTCGAGAGTATTTTGTATGCTTCTCTTATTCTACCCAGAAGGTTCTAGCGAATGCAGAACAAGGACTGCTTTGGCAAGTCACCGCGACTTGCAATTGGTAAAGACATTGGTGAGTTAACGACCGAGCTGGTTTGTGCTCCTCAACAGATATTCGAATTATTTGCAGATTTACAGCTTGGGTAAGTTATTTCCTAGAAGACCTCAACTCATCCTTGTATGGTCCCCTACCTACATCAAAAGTCGCTTCTTCGACTTTCATTCAGTTGTGTCAACTCATATTCCGACCCTCAGTAGATGTGCCTTCCAAACCAATCTTGTTGAGATCCAGCCATGATAGCTCGAAAATCATACAAGTTCTCTGGCTCGGTATATGGTATGAGTACTTGGATCGTAGTACGATTCGCTGTCGCACGGGGATGTGGCCATTCTTTCTCGCAAGCAGTCGATAACCTCTTCAACAGACTCAACTGCTGCCTCCCACATCTCTTCTCGGATCTGTAAGCCGATGGCTTTGTATGTACCAAGAATTTCCCATCGCTTCCAATCTTCTTTCTGCTTGATTAGAGGGCTCAATGCAGCTATAGCGCCTCGTTGATCCCTGTCTCTCAAATATTGTAGTAGCCAATCCAGCCGCTCTATATCAACCGTCAAATTTCTGTCTCTGATTGATTTGAACAATGAAACAAAAGCTTCTTGTCGTTTTGGGGTCAGTGTTAAGGTCCCTCCACGTTGCCAATCCTGGGCATGAATGGGGAAAGCCAAGTAATCCCAAGGCGTTTCTCCGTCGCCGTTGCGCAAACCCGTGTTTATAGTCTGTAAGTTGAGAGTTGAAAGGTATCGAAGCAGCTTAGTAGGTCCATAAAAAGCTGCTTCGTGAAGTAAGCCCCAACCATCGTCTGTTACACATGTTGTACTCGCTCCTGCCTCAATCAGGCACTGTGTGCCTCTGCGATCTCCGCTGTGAACCGCAAGCAGAAGCGGGGTTCTCCCACGATAATTTCGGGATTCGATATCGGAACCGGCCTCCAGGAGAACTCTCAAGCTCTCTCGAATAACGCGACGTTTATTGCCAGACGACGTAAGGTGGTGGATGGCACTGCAGCCTTGTGTGTCAGTAATGTTTACTGATGCTCCCGCTCGAATCAGAGCCTGAAGAATTGTTGGCAGATTATTGGACCCCGCCATGGAAGCAACCATCATTGCAGTATCGCCCCTCCTGTTAGTGACGTTCAACCGGCTGCCAGCATCAATCAGGTATTGCACCGTGAGAACGTGACCGCCCTCGGAAGCAAGCATGAGAGCAGTGCAGCCCGTCCAGTTAGCCTCGTTGATATCACACCCTAGATGTACGAGGTGTTTGACGCTATTGAGATGACCTTGTGTTGCAGCGACGTGTAACGGCGTGTTGCCTTCGTAGTTCCGCTGGTTGATGGCCCAACTGAAATCTTCAGCAGCCTGAAAGGCGGCGTCGAAATCACCCCTGCAAAGGGCATCATGTAGCGGGGTTTGACTGGCATTTACGGTCCATTTGCCAGCAGACAAGATGCGAGTGAGTACTTGCATCTTCTCTTCGGGTAGAGAAGGCGTGTTGGCAATCGTATCGTGCGCCTCATAGAACCAAGAGCTACAACAAAATTGACGATACGTAAGTAGCTACTCGTCGGAGCAACATCTTTGACAAACTTACTCATGGTAATTTCCATTCAATATCTGGTCTTCCCAGATCTGGAATAAATAGAGAAATATGTCGGTTGATCCTTGACCTATGACCCACTGTTTGTTTCGTCAATGAATACTCGTGCGAGTAGAAATGACCGAAGGGAGGCCTACCTCCAAGGCAGTCACGCCGTTAGGGTCTGTGTCACCCGGGAATACATTTCCAAAATGCAGCATCCACTGTTGGACTGTTACTGTCGAACTCAGAGAATAATCAGAATCAGTGGCAAGCCAGAAATTCGAACCAAAAGGGAGAATCCTGACGGGTCTAAGTGATACTCGCAGCCCAGTCGTAGCGCTCACTAGGGTCTGCATTTGGACTGCCCTGGAACATAGCCAAATTGGGAACTGATACTCTGCTGTTATCGATGTACCCGTTCTGCTCTTGCAGCTAGCCTCGGTGCATTTTGCGCTGTTGTGGAAACTCAATTGGCGGTTGAAGTTGACATTAAGATTGCCAACCAAGTTCCGAGCCCACCTCGTAAGAGTGTACGACACTGGCTTCGAAACATGGCATCGGCAGCAGCATGGAACTGGGCATCGGTCTTGCAGAAGACCTGATACCTGGTTGACAATACTCGAAGCTTGAGGAGTGATCAAGTCAGTGGGTGCCGATGCTTGAGGATTCGGTAAGGCTTGTTGAGATTGTCTCACAGCCACGACTTGTAGAGGTTTGTCTTCTCGGAGTGATTCTAAGTCTTCATCACAGCATGATGACTTTTCATCACGACACGATGACTTCTCATCCTTTGATGGTGGGCTCTCTGGAGCGTCTCCGGTGCCTGCAGAACTTTCAAGCTGCTGCACATTTGAAACTATCTGCATGCTCAGACTCTCGATTCGCAAAACGAGTTTCCTAAAGCGCAACGTAATCTCTTCAGCTTTTCAACAGCCATCTTATGTAGTTGATGATATGAATCTTACGTGATAGATTGAGCATTTATGGTTTGGAGCGCAAGTTGGAGGTTCTCCCTGGCTTCTCGCGCTTTGCCTCGACAATCGGAGAGCTCGGCCTGCAGCCAGAACCAGGCTCTCTTTTTGACCTTGCCTTTGTTGTCGGCACTCGGTGATCGGATGCAGCGTATTCGGATTTCTTCGAGGCTTTTTGTGGATTCTGTAAGCTGAAGCATGGCCTTTGCTAGGAACAGTGTTTCGCATTTTGAGTCATTGGCAATGACTCCTGCTCTAACGAGTTCTTCTTTGATCAATTTCAAAGCTTCGACCTACAGCATCGTGACGAAGGTCAGTGCATGGAATTTCTACCGTTTAGGATCTTTGAAGATTACGATGATCTGAAATTGTTGTCACAGACCTCATTACGAAGCCACTTCATCTCATCCTCGACCCCTGGGATCGCTCGGGCAATGTGAGCGACATGGCGAGCAGTGCTTAAAGCCTGGCCTATGGCTATGAAGCTTGCTACCGCCCCGACGACTTCCATTTCTTTTCGCAGTCAGATTTTCAAGATCCAGAGCAAGAGTGCGATATTCCTGGAAGGACCATGCGCGGGGTTGTAGAGGAAAGAGAGGCAAAGGTTCCATCATGGCGCTTGCGCGGACTTGGTCGAGCATCGCCTGATTATCGAGATGGGAGTATCCGTGCCCCTGTAGTCCTGTCCTAAGCGAAGGTCGTATGTGACCCAACATAAGACCTGGATGGGTTGGCTGCCTGCAACTCTGCATGTCAAGTCTGTGGGTGATTGGCTATAAGTGTCTGCTGCCTTGTGCCACTCTTAGAAACCGGCGCTTATCCTGCACCAACTTGATGAAGATAAAGCATCGTTGATGGAGGGCCGATTGGTTTCGAGACTCCATAGGCAGTGCGCGATCTTTACACTAAATCATTGCACCTGCCCATTCAATAAAATCCTGCTCACTGAGCGACTTTCAAGAGTACATGGAGGTATGTGGGAAATTGTTGCAAGGTGGGCGATAGCAGAAACGTCCAGCCTTTCAGACCTAAATATCCCTCTACCCAATATGTGCCGATCCTGGAGAAATGCATGACGCGAGGGAAATGATACTGAAGACCGGGTGCCTCTACGATATATCCAGCTCTGCTTAACGAAGAGTGACAGTGGTCAATGAAAGAAAAGAACAAAAACGGAGCAGATTGGAACAAGGTTGGTTGCAATTGGTCCTGGTGACAGAAACTCACCTGAAAAGATCGTCAAGACTTGGCGCTACGAAAACGGAGCGAGCCGTTGGAGGCTATGGGTTCGGAATTTCCGAATGATCAGAGCGGCACAGATACATGCTGGTAGCTTCGATTTCATACTAACATTCTACTCTCTTACAAACAGGCCAGCCATGCCCATTCCTGTGCCGACGCACATGCTCACAACACCGACCTCACCTCCAGATCTTCCGAGGCCGTGAAGCAGGGTGCTCGTCATGCGGGCACCGGTGGCACCAAGAGGGTGGCCCAGGGCAATAGCACCACCATCGGGGTTGACCTTGCCATCCTCGTAGGCCTGCTCCAGCTCAAGCGCTCTCAGGCAGTAAATCGCTTGACTGGCGAAGGCCTCATTGATTTCCCAACGGTTCACGTCCTTGTTCTCCAGGCCGAATTGGCCCAGAAGCTTGGGGATCGCCAGGGCGGGTCCGATACCCATCTCATCGGGAGCGCATCCGACGGTGGTGGCTCCGACGAACTTGCCGATGATGCTGTCGGTGAGACCCAGCTCTGTGGCGGTGCTCCGGCGCATCAAGAGCGTCGCGGCCGCGCCATCGGACACTTGCGACGAGTTGCCTGCCGTGCTGGCGCCGTCGGCCTTGAATGCCGGCTTCAGCTTCTGCAAGGCCTCAATCGCCATGTTGGCGCGAATGCCGTCGTCCTTGGTGACTGTGATTGTCTGCTCCTCACCGACCTTGTTGCCCTGCTTGTCCGTCTCCTGGAATCTTGTTGTGACGGGAACAATCTCCTTGGCGAAGGAGCCATCTTCTCTCGCCCTTGAGGCGTTGTGGTGACTGCGCAGCGCGAACGCATCCTGGTCCGCCCGGGAGACGCCGTAGCGCTCAGCGACGTTCTCAGATGTGATGCCCATGGCCATGATGCAGTCTCTCGCGTCCTTGACCGGCGACTCCTTGAGGGCGGGCCACACGTCTACCGGAATCGCACGGCTGCCGTAGTTGCGGGTCATGCTCTCCATTCCGGCACCAATTCCCACCGATATCGTCTCGGTCCTGATTTGCGATGCGATGAGGGCAATTGATTGCAGAGATGACGAGCAGGCGCGGTTGACAGTGTACAAGGAGGTGTCGTTGGGGTAGCCGACGTGGTTCATGGCCATACGGGCAGCCTTGGAGCCGCCAAGCTCCGAGAGGACGACACCGACTGCGACATCTTCTATCTTCTTAGGGTCGAGGTTCGGGTTGGCCTCGAGGGTGGCCTTGAGGACGGTCGAGAGCAGTTCTTCGGGGTATGCGTCCTTGAGCTGTCCGCGGTTCGACCGGCACACGGGCGTACGCAGCGACGACAGAATGACGACGTCGGAGGGCGCCTTCTTCAATACGGACGAGATTCCTTTGGGGATAGACATGTTTGTTATGTTTCTCGGAGCTACGGCCGTCAATTGACTGTGAATGTTGACAGAAAGCCAGACTTGTTGTACAGAAATGAGGAAGTAAGGTTTAGAAAGTAGCCCTCGGCCAAGGCTGTCTCGAAAAAGAGTCGGGTAAATGTGAGCGATGTCGCTTGGTAACCGGGGGAGCTTGAGCGATGTACTGCTAGTCAGGGAGAATAGCTCTTCCCCTTCTTCCGCTCAACTTCCCCAGCTTGATCCCCAAAGCCGAGGTGGGGGGACCCGCATAACATGGCAATTGGGTTCGGCAACCATACGCAGAGCTCTAAGCTCGGTCCCGGGGCTAAACGTTCAACCGGCATTTGAGTCGGCACCTACACCGAGATATACCGACGGTCACCGAAACCTGGCATGTATACCGAGAACACCCCGGCTATCCCATTTGGGTATGAGGCCATCGTCAGCCAAAACTGCAGTGTTACACAGTACTAAATCATCATCTACACTCAACTTGGTGTCACACCAAATGCCGGCTTTGAAAGAATTTGAACAATGAGCTTCTTTCATATTGAACACACTATAAGCTCACGTTACGCGCGCTCATGACTAAAAGGTATGTTGACAATTCAAAATCAGCGTCAACTTCCACTGTGTTGTTTACCAAGGTCCATGGTAAATGCAGCCAAGAAGACACTCTGATGTATGTCTGCATCTATACTATGATATGGTAAGCTCTCAATACTTACCCTAGCCGAGAAAGCACTCCGTCAAAGCTTTGAATAGTGAAGTGGTCATCGGCGCCGAAGCAGAAGCTGAAAAGAAATTTACCCAGATGCATTAGCGCTGGAGCAGGTGAAAGTCCATGTCGGGATTTCAAGCTTCAAAATAGTTGATCAATCTCCACATGGAAATCAGTCACAGCTGTATATGTGTCTTTCAACACTTCAATGCATTGATGTATTGAGAGTATCGAATGAATTACGTATTCCTCATTTCATGCAGAGAAAGCAAATGGCCTGTCCTCAAAGGGAGACTAGCTCCCTCATGTAGGTCCGTGATTATGTTAAGCCTCCACATACAGTATTCTTCCAAGATAAGTGACCCTGTCCACGCTTCACTATGAAAAACATTGTGTTTGTTGGAAGACATTCCAATGCAACCTAGTGAGCTGCTAGGCGTCGGCTTTGCCCCCAATATGCACACCGGTAAGCGAATTGGATTGCGGCTTTGTCGAAGAAATCGGTGTTGAATAAACTACTCAAGGCCTTTCATCTCTCCCATGGGACGAAAATGTTTAAATCGGCCATGGTGACGATCATATGCTGTAGAGTAGTTTGGAAAATACTGTAGCAAATCGTCGATACGTTCACTGAGCAAATCAAACCATCAAATTCTATACGCAACTATAGACTCGTTCTCCCAGAACCATCTAGGAAAGAAGATTAGAAGAAAACAGTTTCATCAATCCATCCGCACACTTGGCAGCATTTACCATGCCAGATCCGCAGCCTCTCGGTGCTAAAGACCTGAAGAAACTACTAAAACTTGTCGAAAGCTACAACAACTTCCGAAACACAGACGGTTACTGGGAGTTTGGTTACGATGTTGGAACGGGCTGGAAGAAGATGGGCGTTGTTACCGCTCACCACGCCCAACTTCTAAAAGAGTTGAAAACGAAGTTGGAGGGACACCTTTCGTTCGACACGATCGACGCTGGACAGAAATCATGTCCTCGTATTCGACTACACGCGGACCATTTGAAGGATTCGAACGCTTTCGTTAAGGGAATTAGAAATATACGAGATATCCTTTGCCCAAAAGAGAGTCGACATACGGACAAAAATTTCGGAGCAGTCTGGGATGACGAAAATGAGATGTGGCCGCTGTACGATATTGATCCCAACTCACCATACGGATTCGTCTGTGGTTTGTCTCCCGTCTTCGGCATTGTGACTACTGGCGTTCATCTAAACATCTACAAACGTGACGCAAACGATATCAAAGATCCGAAAAAGTTTTGTATATTCGTTGCGAGACGTTCGGATCGGAAGTCAACCTTTCCAAGCAAGTACGATCAGTGCGCTGCTGGGGGCTATCAGAACGCGGGTGGGGGTTTCGGCGAAGCTAACGACACGACTGCGAAAGAATGCCTTAAACGGGAAGTGAAGGAGGAAATAAACGGTAGTCTACGAGCTGGCTGGCTAGAGGAAGTCAAGGAAGCCTCTCCGATTCAGTTTGCTGTTCTGCGGGATGAACGATGGGGCAAAGACTTTCTTGGTGCCCCTGAACTCGGCGTCAAAATTCCATTCGATTTGGAAGTGAAAAAAGACCCGATTTTCAAGCCCAATCCGGACGAAGTCGACTCAGTCGAGAAGAAGTCAGTCGGCGAGATTGTCAAAGATCTTCTCGATCACAAATTCAAGCCTAACTCAGCACTCGTCATGATCGATTTCCTAATCCGACACGGCTGTCTGGGAGATATCTCACCTGACAACATTTTGGATCGGATGAACGAAATGCTCCAAAAGCACGCAATTGTCAGTGATCTTCCTCACTGGAAAGTGATGTAAAGAGCCAGACACAGCAGGACGAATACCACGCCGAGCAGGATCTCTGGACACTGTTGCTGGATACTATGGAAGCACCTACAATACAGAAAATAGAGAGAGAGAGAGAGAGAGAGAGAGAGATGTGTTTGTGAAAGGCACTTAAATGTGCAGAACAATGACGATTGAGGGCAGGCGCTCGGCAAGCGTGTTAAGTGGATCCTAGTATTTTGCGAAACAAACGTTGGAAAAGTAATTTTCTGGTATATCTTTTCAATTTTTTTGTTCTGGAGAGGCAAAATGAAGACTCTGTTGTCGGCATTTCGGTTCCTGAGAGACCGCGAGGCTTTCAGTGTGCTGGTCAAGATGTCACCTCAATGTCTCGGCCGATCTAGAGACGTCCAAATACTCATCTAGTATTAGTATAATACACTCGTTTGAACAGAGACTCATAAGGGTCCGTCTTGTGATAGCGGATGATTACTAGCTGGTTTCTTGTACACAATTAGAGGCAGCAAAGGCATACATCGGCGTCCGATGGCGTCAATCCCCTGTCTCGCCGCAGGTCTACAACCTACTACGAGACCTGGAAAGATATTCAATTAGGTATCTCGTCGATACTCTTAACTTGAACCTCTTTTACCCCGTTCAACTTGCGTCGCATGCTGCTACTCGCAGCGTAAACTGAAGATGTTAGAACCCGAAGTATCGAGGCATTTCCATCGCCAGGACAAGATGGAGAACCTACCTGCCCGCCGAAGCCTGTTCGAGCTACCCAATGGTTGAAGGCTCTTCAACCCATGCCATGGATCAACACGTGCATAGTCTTCCCAAAATCTCTTCCTCTCGTAGTCGAAACTGTCCTGTTGTGGGATCACAAGCTTGCCAACAGTCTGCCAGGGGTGTTTTGATTCATCCCACACGGCACCTGCATATTCAACAGGCTGATCACTGAGATTCTCTAGTAGCTGCACTTGGAAGAGATATTCCGCGTCATGGTGTGCATGAAAATTCTGTAGCCACTTTTGCAGGATGGACTCGTCATGCTCTGGCTTCACAGTCTCATCGTAGAGCTTCCTCTGCGTCTCGGTAGATGGCACAAGGGAGTACTTGATGACGTAGTTTCCGAACCGGTACGCCGTTTGGGAATACTGTCGCGTGGATTCGAGGTGGGTGTTGCGGACCTGGTCGCGAGCGAGTTGGAGTTGCGCATCTTGGCGAGCGTTGAGCTCTCTATTCAATTCTTCTTTGTTGCCAGCATACTTAAGCCGGAGGCCGATAATTTCCTTTGTTGTCTTTGCGTCGGCGAGGTCAATGGCCGGGGTGCTGTTGAATTCAATATCCTGAGTTGGAGTATCCTTGCCGGCCTCGAACATTTCTCCTTTGACGTTGAACAGCTTCATGGCAAAGCCCCGAGGTTGGGGGATGCGGTCCTGCAACGTGTAAGCACAGCACAGTACACTTCAAGAGATAGTGATGAGAAGCAAAGAACACTCACATCAAGACCAGGGTCGCCGGGCTCTGAACTGTATCTACATGCTACAGGGTACTCGCCGCCGTGTTCGAAAAGTTCCGTCTGTTTTAGATGGGGAGGCAAGTCATCAGGGACGATAAATATGCCTTTGACGATGCCTTGTGTTCTGGCATGGGTACCACTATAGCCATGACGTGTCGAGTTCCAAGTTCTGCGCTGCCCCTCGTTGATCATATCAGCAACGGCTTGAATATCTTCGGCTTCACTTGTGGGCACTTCTTCAACCCCTTTCGCATCCCACCGCACATAGGCACGTGTGGAGAGGTCTTCGGTTGGAAGGACATTGCTGATGATGTTATTCATGGCGTCGCGATCTGACGTTGTTTGCTATGTAAGGAGGACTCAATGTCTCTTCAATATGGAGAAATCTGTAAAATAGACACGCATCATTCAGATTATGGGATTATTCCAGGTATTAATGTTTCCTGCCCATCCATATACAGTAACATTGCCGTTCCTCCGCGCGATCAGCGTGTCAATATCGCCCCTGTGATATTTGATTAGTTTGTGTTAGCTCATGCTAACCCAGGCGCTACATGTTATCCGATCGCGCTACACTGCGACGGCGTCGAATACCCCGCAACAACAAGCTCTGGGGTAGTGAAGCTTTTGAGACACTCTTCCAAATTCTGGACGCCAATCAGGGAGTGCCTGTTGTAATCCTTTCATCCGAATCAACGGTCGAAGGCCGATGGATGAGCCTGGCCATCTTACCCACGAGGTATCACTGTGGAGTTAGTTGATTGGGTTCACCCGGTTTTCGTGTACTTCGTCAGAAGCAATGGGCGTGAACGACTATGGTCGGGATTGAGTCGAATATAGGGGCTGCTAAGCTGAATTAATCCAATGAACTCAGTGCTGGCGTACCGAACACCCGTCGACAGCTCAGCAAATGATGGGTACTAGTAGTTACATGTATCAAGCAACGATTGCGCCGACTCGGGGACATCCAACTCTCGGGGCCGTGAAGCCAATCCGCCGTAGCGATTTGGGCATTTTCCCCGGGAAGTTCGGCCAATCGGCCCCACCCGCGCCGCGGCCGGAGACGCCGATGTCAGCTGCGGCCCAACTCCACTTCCCTCGATGGTAATCCCCTGTATTGTATTCTAGGGTCGCCACGAGGACCTGGATGATGGACCACGGTCGTGCTTCCCGATGGTATGCAAGAGCTAATGGCCTGCAGCAGCACAGAAGGTGGGTGGCAGTGATCTTAGAGCGCCAGAATGGGAGTTCGTCCGATCCAATTCTTGAAACAGACTCAGCCGATCACAGAGGCCAGGTACTCCACCAAACATGATCTACCACATCGATAATTCGGGCCACTAATTGTTGATTACTGACTTCGACTATGGCAAGATAGATAGCGACAGGAAATGGAGACATCGTGAGGGCCCTTCGTGTGTATTGACAAGGAACTTACAGCTTCCGCGTATGGCAAGTTGGCAACCCATTGGAGTCGAGCTTTTAGTCATTGGTTCGCCATCAACCTTCCTACAACCGAGGAACCGAATCCGAACGACTAAACAGTCGTTAGAGGGTCGCGTCATTGGTGGCTTGTCCCTCAGCTCACCGTCTGTGGCTTGCAAGTTGCAGCAGGGCTGACAAGCACACACAGCACCCCGCGCAATGACTGCGCCACGAAACATGACGACAGGATAGAAGCTGAGCCGAGGGCGCGGGCAAGACGCTGAAGAACTTGGCTTGACTGGGGACAAGACGGGAGAGATCCAATCCCCGCCCCGCGTTAGGCTGCTTGCGGCACGTTAGTTATGCCCGCCCCTGCCAATTTCCGCAAGCTCCGTCTGACTAGATGGTGATTAGCGTTCCTTCGAGGCTCTCTCTCAGCAGTAAGCAAGTCTGACGCCTTTTCATAAAGCTTCAGCTCTCCCCTCTTTCTCGATTCTATCGGATCGTTCAACAAGCATACTAAACTTCAATTGATACTTCGACTATTGTACATCTCGAAACCTCCATTTCTCTCTCGACTCAGCAACCCCAATCTTTAACATGTCTGCAAACGATTACTACGGAGGCGGCGGCCACAACCAGAACCAGGGATACGGTGGACAGCAAGGATACAACCAGGGCGGTTACGCACCCCAACAGCCCACCTATGCACAGGTGAGACCTTCAAGATAGTTCTCGAGTTGACATGAAGCTACATCGAGATCGGTAACACTAACACCCTCTGAAGGGCCAGCAGCACCAAGGCGGCGGCGGCTACCCCCAACAGTCACATTCTCCCTACCAACAGGGCGGTGGCTACAACGCCCCTCCCCAGCAGCAGCACGGATACGGCGGACCCCAACAACCCACCTACGCCCAGGGTAACCAGCACCAGCAAAGTTACGGCCACGACAACCGAGACAGTTATTCCCACAACCAGCAACTGCAATATGGCGCACCTCAGTATAGTGGACAGTCCCAACACGGCGGCCAGCCTCAGTATGGCGCTGGTCCCGGTGGTCCCGATCAGGATAAGGGCCTCGGCGCAACATTAGTCGGTGGCGGAGCGGCCGGATGGGCGGCGCACAAGGCCGGCGGCGGTTTCATTGGAACTGTCGGCGGTGCCATTGCGGGCGCGATTGGAGCGAACTTTTTGGAGCATAAAATTAAGTAAGTGCCTGATATTTAGTTCGAATGGCTCAAAGTGCACGACTAACATGAAGCAACTACAGACCCGGGAAGGACGAGAAGAAGCACAAGAAAAAGCATGGTAAAAAGGACGGGCACCGCAAGCGCAGCGGTAGCAGCAGCTCGAGCTCCAGCAGCAACTAGGACGCTGTCTCCCACGTTTCTGTGAATACTTCTGGTGCCTAGATCCGGATGATACCCCCGTTTCAATCTATGTCAAGCGCACCGGGAGAACGACTGCCGACGAATGGTTGGATTTTCATGACCTGCTCTCATAGACGATAATGTACTATTAGCCACGGATGATAACAATGGAATTGAATGAATACAAGGGATGAGGGTCTTTAGCGCATTGGTTACTCTATTGGTATCTTTAACACAGACTTTACTATTACAGCATCATCTCACTCCATCGTCTTCAGATTCTTTGCGACCTCAAATGTTGCGTCCGTCTTCGACTTCACTTCTTCAACGTTAACACCGGGCGCGACCTCGGTCAGTGTCAGACCGCCATTCTTGCGATCGACCTCAAAGACACACTATCGTCATGTTAGCAACGAGTCCCTTAACAATCAATTATCTGACTTCACGCTCAACTCACCAGATCAGTAATGATTGTGCTGACAACACGAGCACCAGTCAACGGCAGACTGCAGTCTTGCACAATCTTGGAAGAGCCGTCCTTAGCAACATGCTCGGTCGCGACAACGATCTTGGTGTTGTCGGGATTAGACACCAAGTCCATAGCACCTCCCATGCCTTTGAATACCTTGCCGGGAATCATGTAGTTGGCCAAGTCGCCTGTGGCGCTCACCTGCAGCGCACCGAGAATAGAGACATCTACATGGCCGCCACGGATCATGCCAAAAGACTCGGCGCTGTCGAATGTTGAAGCACCGGGAACGAGGGTGACAGTCTCCTTGCCAGCATTGACGATGTCGCTAGAGTTGGACATGTCAGCTCGTGCATCTTAAGTCCTCTTAAAAGTATACTTACGCGTCGACCTGGTCTTTGGTAGGGTAAGGACCCATGCCCAGGATTCCGTTCTCAGATTGAATCCAAACATTGCGTTCAGCCGGGAGGAATGAGGGAGCCAGAGTCGGGATGCCTATTACAGTCAGCGCCTCTCTTCAAGCCTCACGGGGTTATGAATCTCATCTCACCAACGCCGAGGTTGACGTAGAAACCCTCCTGCAACTCCTTCGCAGCACGTCTGGCAATGCGATTGCGCCTCGCCTGCGCATCGTTCTTGGGTGCATTCAGATCTTCGCCTTCACCATCCTCCGCCCTTGTCTTGAGAATCTCAATATTCTTCTCGGCGGTCGAAGGCACGATTCGGTCGACAAAGATTCCGGGCAAATCGACGTCGTTGGGGTCGATTGCGCCCGCCTCGACAATATTCTCCGCTTCGACGATGGTGACTGTTGCGGCCTTGGCCATAATGGGTCCGAATGCTTTGGTTGTATATCTGCACAGAGACGCAGTTAGCAAGGTCCTTTGCTCAGTCAATTCGCAAGTAGTTTTCGTACCTGAACACGCAGTTTCCTGCTGTGTCCACTTTCCATGCTCTCAAGATGGCCACATCTCCCGTAAGCGCAGTCTCCATGAGATACGTCTTGCCGTTGAATTCTCTCGTCTCTCTGGTGCGTCCGCGCTCCTTCACGGCGCCAGAAGCATCGAGTTTGACAGGAATGTCACCACTCTGAACCAGAGAGTCTGCTCATGTCAGCTACATCTCTCAGTTCCTATCAAGGAATAACCTACGAGCTCCAGTGGGCGTAAAGAAGGCGGGAATTCCAGCGCCACCGGCACGGATCCTCTCGGCGAGCGTTCCCTGAGGGCACAGCTCGATGCCGATCTCTCCAGTGAGATACTTCTTCTCCAATGCCTTGTTGTTTCCGAGGAATGACAAGATCAGGCGGTTCACCTGGCCAGCCTTGGTGAGGACGGCCAGACCACCCTTGCCTTCTTGGCCGGCATTGTTTGAGACAGCTGTAAGCGAGTGCAGGTTCTCGGGCCCCCTACGGTTTATTGCAGCGATGATTGTGTCTGTCGTTGAATGTGTTAGCCATTCTTCTAATCTCTGGCAGTGCAGACATATAGAACATCGCCCAACTGGACTAACCTGCAACACCACAGAGCCCGAAACCCGAACTCAGAATAGTTGATCCGCTCTTGATGTCCGCGACAGCCTCATCGGCAGATGCATACAGCTTCGAGCCACCTCTCTTCGTAGCAGGTGCCTTCTGTGATCTGCGGATTGGTGTCGTCGTTATGTCACGGCATGTCGCAACACCAAGGACCTTTGCGCGGGGGAAACGCTGAGCTTGCGCACACACTGCGGGCACAGCTCTGAAGGATGCGCGGACCAGCACCCGCGGGCGCAACTGGCGAGCAATGGAAGACATTTGTTCGGTCCTTTTCTGGAGGAAGAAGCAGGCTTATCCACAAAACACAAAAGGGAAGGTTTCAATCAATTGTGACGAGAGACCATAGATTAAGCACAAGTAAAAGAAAAAGGAAGGCCGATTGTCGGGGGACATTTCTAGGTTCGGGTTAGGTGGGCGCGACTTCATCTTTTTGAACGGATTGCTGCGCGGGACGCCTCGGCTGTTCTTTTGCGCGCCGACCACGACGGAGTCCCTCCGCTCCCGCGGTTCAGTAGTGGCTTCGGCATGAGGGGGAAGATGCAGGCAAAGACAGGGGAGTCTCTGACGTCTTCGTGGCGGGGCATCGGGAGTTGTGGGAACTCGGAGTTTCTTCTACAGTAGCTCTCGGAGACCAAAAGTAGACTCCGAGTCAGCTTAATGGCGTACAGTAAACAAAGGCTTGTCATTGGTCTGGACGGGATGACGGCAAGGTCAAAGAGACGATCCGGGGATGGTCTAAGATGCTACCCGCCGTGGGTTCGTCCTCCCCCGCAGATTTGGGGTCTGGGGAAGACGGGCTTCAAAACGGGGGAGGGACCCCCAAGCTTTGCCCTTGCTTGGCAGATAGAAACTCGGGTCTTGTTGTCTTGTCTTCTCTGTTGTTCTCGTCTTTCCAGTCTCTTCATAGAGTTTCCCAAGGTTACACTGCCAAATCTTATTCGAATTCAACATGACATCGAAAGACTTCGACATGGATCCCAAGGTTGAGCATGACGAGAGCCACCTGGAGGTTGAAGCGGAACGCCAACGGCATCTCACGAGGACTTTGCTCTTCAAAGTTGACACTAGGTAAGCTTTTGCCCCAGGTTTTCAACTACAAGCAACCCTTTTGAAGACTCATTCCAACTTACACGCAACGATTGACAGGGTCCTACCGCTTTTGGCCCTACTGTTCCTCTGTTCCTTTCTTGATCGAACCAACGTCGGCAACGCAAAGATTATTGGCCTAGCCGAGGACCTTGGCATCAGTAACAACCAATACAACCAAGGCTTGGCCGTCTTCTATGCGACATACATCGCGAGGTAACATCTCTCCATCCGTTCTCAGCTGATCTTGGCGCTGTCAACGTGCTCTCGTCCCATGTGGTTCCCCACAGTCGTCCGGTCGCTAATGCACGCCCAGCGAACTGCCAAGCAACCTCGTCTTGAAGAAGGTCTCGCCGCGGATATGGCTCCCCTTTCTTACCTGTGCTTGGGGTATTGTTAGTACGTACACGGATCAACAGTAATCGGTCTCATTATCATCCATCACTGACTTTGCAAAGCCATGTGTCTCGGCTTCGTCCGTAGCTACGGCAGCTTCGTCGCAGTCCGAGCAATCCTGGGTCTGACTGAGGGTGGGCTGCTTCCCGGAATGGTGCTGTATCTTTCTGGCTTGTACACCCGCGGAGAACTTGCACTGCGCATTGGTATCTTCTACACGGCTGCATCTCTCTCTGGTGCATTTGGAGGTCTTCTCGCCAGAGGCTTGTCCGCGATTGGTCCTGCGGCTGGCCTTGAAGGTTGGAGATGGATCTTCATCATTGAGGGCATCATTGTAAGATCTTGAACCCCGGCCATGGAACTCGTGAGTATTAACATACTTCCTTAGACGGTCGTCTGTGGAATCATTGCCGCTATTGGCCTGCCAAACAACCTGGCGACGGCGAAGATCCTAACGGATGAAGAGCGAGAGTGGGCGCTGCTCCGGCTCCAAGGTCATGCTGGAGACCGATTTGAGTAAGATCCCAATACCCAACTGTAAAGAACCTCGATAACTGACATATTCACAGCTCTTCACGCGAAAGGGAGGAGAGGTTTCGATGGTCCGAAGTTGGTCGCGGCGTTTTCAACCTTCAGATCTGGCTCAGTGCAACTGCCTACTTTGCCATTCTGTCTGGTCTATACTCCTTTGGTCTATTCGTAAGCTTCTTGGTTTCATACGTATTGTCACACAGCTGATTGAGACCAAAAAGCTCCCGACAATCATCAACGATATGCATATCGCTTCCAACTCAAATCAAGTTCAACTTTGGTCCGTGATCCCGTACGCGGTCGCGACCCCCGTTACAGGTGAGCAATGGCAAAAGATTAAGAATAGAGACTTAGCTCAAAGCTGACTTCCCTCATAGTCCTCGTTGCCTTCCTATCCGATCGCCTCCGCCTACGTGGCACACTCATGCTCTTCGTCCTGCCCATCTCCATCGCGGGCTACGCAGCCATCGCCAACGTCACGGCGCCACAGACGAGATTTGCAATGACATGCCTTATGGCCATTGGCATGTACAGTGCCGTCCCGTGCGTCTTGGTTTGGAACTCCAACAATTCGGCTGGCCATTACAAGCGCGCGACAACGTCCGCGCTTCAGCTTGCCATCGCCAACTGTGGCGGTTTTGTAGCGAGTAAGTTTGCAATACGCATCAAACAAGCATATCACTGACTGGATTTGCAGCCTTCATCTACCCTAGCACTGATGGCCCATTGTACCATAAGGGCCACACTGTCATTCTGGGACTGCTATGCTACGCATGGGTGGCGTGAGTAAAACCATACGCTGTTCGTGGTTCAATAGACTAACAGAAAGCCCAGGACCTTTATCAATGTTCTCTGGTGCGCCAAGATCAACCGCGATAAGGCTGCTGGGAAGTATGACCAGTTCGTTGGTACAGGTGATGATCGGGAACCTCACTTTAAGATGGTGTTGTAGGAATGGCTAAGCGATAATTGGGTGTCGAGAAGTGAAGCACGTACCTAGATCTTATGGTAGAATGATATTCTCTGTCTTCAAGTTACGGAGTTTGCTGGGTTTCAAGTTCCAGGCCTAGCTTTTCTTTCAAATACTCCGTAGACCGTCTTCATCAATATCAGAGCACACTTAGTCATGCGCATGTCGCTAGTCAATATTTTATCCACAGAGGGAAAGGATTTTGCGGCCGGACTTGCATTGCATGTCGCTGTAAGGGCAAGTAAGGGCACCCAACATCTGGATTTAGTTTCTTGCCAGTCCTTCCCTGAAGGAAACTAAGCATGTTTGGCAATACGATAAACTGGGACATGAAAGTATTGAAGAACAAAGCTCGCATTCATAAAAGGCTAAATGATCCGGTTCTGGAGCCCGGTAGTGTACAGCACCCCTATGAGCATCACAAGCGCCGGCGATCTACAACTTGGACTCGCGTCCTGGAGCGAAGTTTGACCTCGCAGCTCCGCCGATGGCCTCCGTAATAGTATCAATCGACTTCAAAATCCACTCGCTGCCTTCATCGCTAGCCAACCACTCCGCACCTTGAATGTCCTCCTGGTTGTCCGCCTTATATGTGCCGTCCTCAAGTCCCTTCCTCAAGCCGAAAACGTGCGATAGAACCTGCGGGCCAACACCGGTTTGTGCTCGCAAGCATGAAATGGCAATCATCGAAGTCAGCACTCTCCCGACGCTGGCCAGACCTCCCCGCTCCTTGGGTTCCGACAACAAACCCGCATAGTGGCTGTGGAGAATGTGGACCGGAAGATCCGGGTGCGATTGCGCCAGCTTCTCGTAGAGCTTGACCTCGAAGGGAGCGTAGATCGAGTCCCACAGGCCCTGGCCCCGTACTGTGATGGCGTCAATGTTTTGCGCGTTTGGTGTTCGCGTTGGCTTCGTCTCCAGTTGTGCCGTAACATCCTTAGGGAGGCTGGCGTAGAAGGCGTTAAGACAGTTGATGGTGCGAGGGATGCCGTTAAAGCTGATGCACTTAAGACCGATTTCGCGAATGAACTCGGCAGTCTCGCGCTTGTCGGGGCGGCCGGAGGAAGACGCAACACTGTAGAGGGATTCTAGAGAGTCGGGGGAGTTGAGTGTGAAGGTTGCCGCGGCCTACGAAATGCCGAGGTTAGCAACTAAGCTCGCACGAGTGTTGTACCAGCTCAGTTGTACTCAATTGAGCCACACAACAGAAGCTGCGAAAGTCGCGATATGTCTATCTCACCGAAATTGCTAGCCACGGCTTTGCGCCGACGTTTTTTGATGCCGCATCCTTAGCGATGGCTTGGTACACCTCGCGAATATGCGACGGCGCAGCCGTCTGGCCGGGACGGGCAAACGGCGCGTTGATGAGTGCCTTGAGCGACGGTGCAAGCTTCGACATGGTTTCCTCTGGTTTTCGATTACTGCTGGACCTGTTCTGCTTCAACTGTTTCTCTGCGGGCGCATCATCCATCGGACTAGAAGGCGTGCGTTCAAGCGAAGGTGGCGGGATGCAGAAGTGGTTTTGTTTCCCCAATTGAACGAGACCGGAGGGGTTCCGCAAGTCGGAAGACAAAAGAAGGTCCCTCGACCGTGCGTCTCGGACTCAAAAAGAAGTGCCGACGCGAAGAGTCCCATGTGACATCAGCGTGGGGAAATTGGAGCTCGACTCTTTAAACATTGCGCCGAGCGGCCGAGAGCTCGCCGGCTCTACATTTAGAGGCCGAGGGATTGCGGGATGAGAACGAGACCGGACGCGTATCAACAGACAGCGGGCGGATAAGCTTAGACAAGGGGTTGATGGTAACAATGCCGCATTACTTATCAAAAGAGCATTTCCATGGATCCAGTTTCTGAAAAAGGATGTTGAGAAGTCCCTCTGGCACTTTGGTTGCATGTAGCATTGCATATACCCACAGCACACACTTACACCAGCACACGATGGCCGGCGGCAGCAAGCAGAAGGAGCGTTTCTGGCTTGGGTGAGTTACACGGGTCCAAGTTGGAAATGGAGGCTGGCATCGAGCTGATCGATAATTGCAGAGGTGCTGCAGCATCTATGGCAGTCTGCTTCAGTACGTTCGCCATTGAGCTTGAGCGACATCGCCGTGTTTTGAATGGTCACTGATCACACAACTTCAGCACATCCCTTGGATCAAACTAAGTAGTGAGTAAAGAGTTGTTCACAGCTAGGAGCGCGCAGAACGAGCACTGATTGTAAAAGTCGAATGCAGGTCCTCAAGTCAAGGGAGTCAATGTTTCGAGCAATGTACCGTTTCGCAGCTAGGGATGGTGAGTAATACAGCTAGTTCTCTGCTGTAGTCACTACTCACTCTGCGCAGGGTTCTTTTCCTTGTGGTCTGGGCTGTCAGCATCCATCTTTCGACAAACCACTTATTCGACCGCTCGGTTCGGACTATACAACTACTTTGCGCAAAAAGCGAGACAAGGGACGGGCCAAGAGAAGTTGACAACAGCGATGACGATATCTTGTGCCGGGTTGGCTGGAGGCATGGCAGGGCTGGTCGGAAATCCTGCGGAGGTATGGCTGACATCGCTCCACTATTCAGCGCAGACTCTCACAGGTGTCAGGTTGTCCTCGTCCGCATGTGCGCCGATGGAGCCAAGAATGTCGGCGAACGATTCGCTTACTCGAACGCTGTCGAAGGGCTATACAGGATAGGTCGCGAAGAGGGTGTGGGAGCATTCACAAGAGGCATATCTGCCAATGTGGTGCGCAGTATACTCATGAGTAAGTCAAGCGAAAACCTCGGAAACGACTGTAGAATTTATTGAAGCTGATGCCGAATGATAGATGTGGGACAAATCGCCACGTGAGTGCCAAATGAGTGGACGTCCTTAGGTGAAGGGACTCAGTAAAACAAGCAAAACTGACACGAAAGCACGAAACAGATACTCAACAGCGAAACGCATCCTTCTGCAAAAGACTGAAATGAAGGATGATATAAAAACACACGCCGTGGCATCCCTCTTTGCTGGAACTGCGGCGACAACGATTTGCGCGCCAGCTGATGTCCTCAAGAGCAGAATTCAAAGTGCTGCTGCGAGCGGCCCAGGGGCAAACGTGAGTAGACAGGTCCAGTCCCAGTCCTTGCAGAGGAACCGACTAATCGAACCTAGTCTTTGCTTCGTATTGTACAGACGGGTCTGAGGGAAGAAGGAGCAATTTTCTTGATGAAGGGATGGACCCCGGCGTGGTTGAGATTCACGTAAGTCACATCCACGATGAAAGGAAATGTCGAGAATGTTACTAATAAACCGTATACTGAAGGCCGAATACTGTCCTGACTTTTGTGTTCATGGAACAGCTGCGGAAACTGACGCAGTGGCAGTTCGCCGCCCCGGTCGAAACCATGAAGGCATGATGTACGCCAAATGGCCAACCGAGAGGTGTTTCTCTAGAACCCAAACTCTGTCAAATTAGGCCAGCTTAGCCAGTCAAAGTTGTTCATGTCGTCCCAGGATAGGCCTGCAAATGAGGGGTCGAACTCGTTGCCTGGCTGATTGAGAACCTCAGCAATCTGGTCGTCAGACATGGCAGAGAACTGCAAAGTCCCAGGCCATAGCTGCGACTCCATGTAAGGCGGCTGCGAGACCGGTGGCCCCATATTGACGGGAGGCGAGGCAGCAACAGCCGACGAGGGCGTTCCGAGCTGACCACTGCGAGGGATACTTGGATCAGGTTGCATACTCGTCTGAGGCTGGCCATCCATGGCTGTGGCCGCCTTCCTGACGATACGTCTTAGATATTTTCCGTACAGTGTAGACAAGCCATTTCTGTGCTTTGTGGCAGAGCCAATACGTTCCAAGACATCTGCCGTTTCTTCAATGAGGTTCCGAATGCTAGGTGCCAAGTTCGAGCTGCCCGTGGCGTAGGCGCTCAGAGTCAGGGCAAAACAGGCTGCAAACGAGACCATGATTGTCGTGTTGTTCGGGATCGACTGGAGCTGCGACTCTCCTTGGATCGCTGCTCGCATGACCGTCACAGCAGACGATAGCCCGGCCGTACGGAAGAATTGCCGGACTTCCATCGGGGCGGTCGGGTGGTTGATGACGCCTCCGTACGTCGAGAGCCGGGTGTGGGTGACGAGAATCTCAACGTACGGAGGGAGTCGGCGCTGGGGGCCTGTGCCAATGGCGTAGCCCCATTCAGTCAGCCATTGATCGAAGAATCTCTCAATAGCACTCTGGATCGACTGGGCGATGAGCCCGCCGTCCGTAGATATTCCCTGCGACCCGTCGCAGAGCGCGCGGACTGTGTTGAGTAGTCCGTCGAGGTCTCGGCGAAGGACGGCCATCGAGACTAGATGACCATCCATGGGGTCAGCAATGCTGGACCGATGCCATTGGTCGCAGTCTTTGATGACCCGGGTGATGGGCACGGTATAGGGTCGGCCGCGAGCTAGAGACATGCCTCGTTCAAGAACGAAAAGTGCGATCCAACAGCGCTCACGGCGACGGAGAAGGCGCTGTCCAAGATCAGAGGTATGTTCAATGTGGCTGAAGCCGTCCATGGCCAGTGCTGTCCGAGGATCAAGACAGTCTCCACGGGACAAAGCCATGTTCGAACCGGAACCAACAACTTCCATTGGGATGAGGAGCTTATTCAAGGACAGATCAATGGCGATAGTGGCAGCCATATTGACATACCAGCAAGTCTCATCATCAGTGCTATGCTGGCCAGGAAACATCCATGGAACGTTGACCATGAATGCAAGAACAATCTCAACGGACTTGTGTCGGTTCGCGATGACTCTATGTGCGAGGGTCTTGCAATGGTTTGACAGTCTCTTGGACAAGGCACCAGCGGATGGAAGGAACAGGGCCGATGCGGCCATGATGGAGGTGCACAAGAAGGCAGATCGCGAGCGCGTGAAGGATGGAGTGTAGATCTTGGGATCAAGTCCCCATCGGGTGTGGGCAAGTTTGCCATGGAAGCTGGATGGTGAGTTTGACGAAGCCCTCATCGGCGGTGGGCGTGTGTCACTTACAAAGCAAATAATGATTCTGCCTCTTCCTCAGTTACAAGACCCATGGTGATGGGATCTATGTCGTCGCCGACATCGAAGTTGACGCGAACAGAGGTGAAGAAGGACTGGATCTCCAAGTCCTCATCGGGTTGTTCGACCTGCTTCTTGCGCCCGGCGCGGGGACCTGGCTGCTTTGGCGAGAGGCCACTGATGGGCTTGGGCGAAAGCTGCAGATTCGAAGCGCGCGCCAGGAGTTGGAGCGGGTTTTCGGCATCGTCGATTGCCAGGCTCTCCTCGTTGTGATGATGCAAACTCATATAAGTGTTGCTGTCTGGGGTGTTGTCCAGGTCATCATCATCGTCAGATGAGAGGTCGGGTTGGTCGGGGCTGTTGAAATGCGATGAACCCCGCCTTAAGTGAGAGGAGGCGGTAGTTGACCGAGCATTTCGAGAGCCCTCCAGGAGCGCCTGGAGACTGCCGATGGCCTTGTCATCTTCGGAGTTGTGTTCACCGGTTCTGGCTCTTTTGATGGCCTGCTCAATCTGATAGAGAGCTTTATCTAGGCCCTTTCGCTTGCTATTACACGCCCAGCCAATGATCAATACTACATTAGAGAAGGGTGGGGGAGTTGTGGTGCGACTCAAAGGGGTTGTCTCGGTCATGGGGGGCCGTTTGGTGTCAACACCATTAGACGGCGGGGGAGCTTTGGGGGCCTTACTTCTTGATTCCCTTCTGTCTTCCAGCGTGGAACGTAGGCCGTATGCACTCAGAATCGAGCTGAATGCACCTCTTGCATTTGTTCTCATGCGGAGAATAGTCGCACTTGATCTTGCTTCGGCGGCAGACCAGACAGGCGGCCTGCTTTGGACGTAGCGATTGAGGATCCTCCATCCAGGTGAGGGGAAGGTGAGAGGAGCCCGGGTGCACTCTGGCGATCTCGGTGAAGAGCTAAAGTGCTCTGTACGGACAGCAAGCGACAAGATTTGGATTAGAGGAACACGCGTTATTTCTCGACGTATTGACTTCTGGGGCTGGGGTCGAGATGAGATCCAATATCAAAGCGGCCTGGTCTGTTGGCTTTTTGACGATACAAACACGCTACCCCTAGAGCAGACAGCTCTGCTAAAGATGGAAGTGCTAAAACATTGAGCCTTGCGACTCACTGACGAGAAGTCTACTTAATTGAGAGGTCTCCCGCCAAGCACCAGCCATCAGGGAGGGAGAGAAGCTCGTCCTGTGACTCGTGTGAAGCCGGAATCATTGGGGAAAGTTGAATGAGGGCACGAATCAGCACGCAGCTACGGACCCGTCCGCCGACTTGGAGGAGCTTAGTCATTACTTCATCTCTCTTGGCAAGTTAAGAGAGATTACATAATGTCAACGGTGTACGGAGTAGTGGCAGCAGCTGTTGTGTGAGTTCTTTGAGGAGCTGTCGCTGCTGTTGCTAACGCCAAGGACATTGACTTATTCTTGGCTTGGCCACACCTGGCTCTTATTACCTACCCTATAAGTGCTCTTGAACCATCCATCTATTGTCGATCGTCAACCTCTTCATACATAAGTACTTACCTCTCGACTCCTGTTGCAATTGCGAGTGAGTTCCTAGGCAGAAGCAATGCCACATTTACGCCTCCGCAAAGAACCGGGACCAGCCCAATCATGGCCAAAGTCCCTAGAATCACGGTCACCAACACGTCCCATCGTCCCATCTGCACGCATTGGGAGTGGCTCAGGGGATAACCAACCACACTGCTTGATGCCTTGCCATACTGATACGGCTCATCAAGTTTGCGGCAAAGCGGCCTCGGCTGTGAGGCCAAATTCGGCCTCAATCTCACTTGACTCTAACCAACCCAAAGATGAGTACATGCTTAAGTACGGTACTTTAGTTCAGGTAGATCCATACTCGAAGAAAATCTTTCTAAAATTGAAAATCCCAGATGATTTAAGCTCTGTTCGCCCCTCAACCCCGCCGCCATGGCACCTTGGCTTGCTGCCAAGCACTCGTCTCCCCAGCTCTTCAGGATTGCAACTACCGTTTGTCACTCGCATACTGCACCAGCAACAACAGCTCGACTCATTCATATACCAAAAATGATGGCAGACTCAACGTCCATTACACATACGATCCTTCGCAATGGTACGCCGACGGAGGTTGCCAAACACCTCAAGGAGGTTCGAGCCAATGCCGCCGATCCGACATCCATCACATACAATCTCCATGAAGCGGTCGTCCGAGGTTCCATCCCGCACAGCATCTTCTCAATCTGGATCCCTCTATCTGACGATGCAAAAACGATCGTGGCAGCCCTCAATCAACCAGGGAGTACGTCCGAAAGACGCGCGGCTATGAGGGCATTTCTCAAGGCTATGCGATCAGAGGACACGATGATTCCGGTATGGAGTGAGGCAGGCGGTGCTCAAGGTGTCGCAACAATCATGAGTAACCTCAGCGTCAAGGAGGTCAAGATGCTATGCAATGGCCTCGCCAGGACAGCCTCCCTTCCACACGGGCGATCGCAGCGACGAGCGAAATTGACAGAGTTGATCGCCATCCTCGGCGCTGGGACTCCAGTCCCCAAAGAAAACCCAGATGCGAGGCCGCTGTTATCCCATTACAGGAGAATCCTGCCGGCCTGCACAACCGATCGAGTAGCCGAGCATGAAAGGACATCGCCCAACTGGACAGTAAGGCAGCGTTTCAACTTGCTTCGCACCCATCCAACATTCTACGAGACCAAATTCCTGGACTCCATCTTTTCGAATGGAGAATCTCCTTCTGCCGAATTCGATGCCAGCACGTGCACGCAGCTCATCAACAACAATTTTAGCTTCGCCAAGGACATGCTCCTCAAGTTTCTCGACGCCGGGGCTGAGCTCCCCGTTACGCCAGACGTATTCATCAAGCAGATTGCTTTGCCCATTGTGAGACTTTTACGACGACGCAGAAAAGCCGTTCAGCAGCATCTTCCGCTTGAGATTCTTGAGCTTCTCGTCCGCCTCATCAGCAGGCATCCCGACCTTCAGAGGATGCTGGACGATAGCCTTGTCGGCGTCATGTTCCATGTCATCAAATTCTGGGAGCATACCCGTTCGACGCGACCACAAGTTGAGCAGCATTTGGTCAAGCTTTTGAATCTCACTCCTGAGACAAAGTGGCAATCAGCCAAACAGATCGTTTCGCATCTACGTGTTGTGAATCCGGCCGTGTCCTACAGATTATTTCGGCTTATGCTCCGACATCTACCTGCCTTCAAATTCGATATCGACGACGCTATAGGCAACGAAAACATCTCTCTCGAGAAGATCAAGGGACCGTGGCCAGCGAATTTCTTCGTCACAACGCTTGGGCGTGATGACCGGCTTTCTTCTCTCCGCTTAGTCCAGCGCTTGATGGCTGCTTTCCCTGACGGACGTTTCCTGAGGTATTCATACGTCAGAGATTGTTCCATCTTTGAGCATGAGCAAGACTCTGATACAGTCCAAGGTGACGCGCTCGCACTCGAAGTTTTTCTTTTGCGAAGTTCGCCAGCTTCCAACCCCCTGAATACAAGCTACGACAGCAAAATAGACGCAGATCTAGAGAGGCGCAGGAAAAAGGCATCCTCAAGCCGTGATTGGGAAAGTCGAACCTTGTGGGCTCAGTCAGCACTCGACCTCTCCATTGCGGCGGGCTCCTTAGATCTCTACGCAGAGAACCTGCTTTGGGCGAGACGCTTCAACAAAGACGTTTTTACCGTGAGGGGTCTTTACGACGAGCAGGCTTTGAAGACTGCCGAGGGTTTAGACTTACTCAGCGGTATTGAGATAGCTTCTCATGCCGGCAAGCCAGATTTCGATGCTGCGAAATCCGTTCGGTCTGCGAACAAGATTATGATGCAGCTGCTGGAAACCGCATCAATGGCCACCCGAGAACCCAGCTTCCAGGCTTATGACTGGCAAACGGTCATAGAATTGCCTGCAGCAGTGGTTGAAAGACGTTTCCAGCTGGTCAATGAGTTCCAAGATGCTCGAAAGCTGACCGATACCGAAATCTCTGAGATCCTTTGGCAGCCAACTGTGGACTTCTTGGTTGAGCTAGAGACTTTCTTGCTTCATCCCAACCATCAAGAGCTCAACTCTCTCGGATCACGTGGGCTGGGCTTCCCCAGGGACTGTCTCGGAGCCCGTGAAAAGCGATCCCACGTCTTCAAGTTCGTGGACGGACTCGCCAAGGCACGCGATGAGTTGTGGCAGAAACACCGTCCTCGGCGTTTCCCATCGGTTCTCACGCTGGGCGAGCCATGGCCAAAGGGATTGCCGCTGCAATCTCTTTTGCCTACCGGATTCTTCGGCCTGCAGAATATCGATGCCATGCCTTACGTTCGAGAGCGGATCGAGAAGGTTGTCTTCGGGGCTCCCGAGGTCTTGCTTCAAGAGCCTCCGAAGGAAAAGGAATCTCAGCAGACGATAGGTTGTTTTGTGGACGAATACAGCTTTGCACTGAAAGCGTACATCGATGGAGGGGACATGGAAGAAAACTGTCAGCGAGAAGAGCGCACTCGTAAAGCCTGGCGCCATGCAGTCTACAGCCTCAGTGGAGCGAGAATGACGAAAGCTGAAGCCCTACGGTTCTGGGAACAACGGTTCAACCGCGCGAATGTCCCATTACCTGCAGACCTTAAAGCAGAGTTCCCGCGACGAGTCGAGCTCTCGATTCCTGAGGTCGGAAATCCAGAAACGCCAACAGAGTGGGATCCGGATTCTTGTCACGCGGAATTTGAGGAGCTCGGTAGCAAGGAGATTCCCGTCACGATCTTAGACGTGATGATAAGCTACGATGCCTTTGGCCTAGGTGGTGATGAGGTGTGGGCGGCGTGCAGTTGGTCAGATACAGCGCAAATTCCACCAAAGGAGAGACCTAACTTCTGGGACGTGAGCCAATTCTCACAGCCCCTTTCCGGTAAAATCTTAGACGCTTACTTCGCGTCCCTCCTTCTCTCTCTCAACACCATCCACGGCTCCGACTGCTCGGTCTTGAAGCACCCATTTCCATCCCAGGCCGATGTTCGATATCCGGCGCTTTACTTGGATCAGGACTTCCTTGAGACCACTGACGGAGCGTTTTTCCGCGACGACCCGGCCCAGATAGAGCATATCATCAAATCAGGTCCACCAGCATTGCTTGTACCGGTCGTGCAATCAATCCTCCAGAACGTAGCTGCCAACGAGGAATCGGAGTCTCCAACGCATGCACATATCCAACTGGCTATGAAGCTTATCAAAGTGCTCGCAAACAGCGACCAACCATCTCTGGCTTTCCCCTTCATCAGGGATGTTGTTCTCAACAGACCAAGCGATAGCGCCTGGCACAGAGAACTTCTCACCAAAGGATTCTTCAACGCCATTCCTCCGAAGGAGGCAAAAAAGCTTCTTTGTATGATATCGATTGGCATACAGGAGAAGCTGGAGGAGCAGCAGGCCAGATACAAAAAGGCCAAGGAGGAGGGCGGTGAGCTGGCTGAGCGGTCTCCACCCGCAGTCAAAGTTACGACGGTCAAGATGGTGGCAAAGCTTCTGAGCAATGCGCCGTTCCTGGATGTCACATCAGCTGTTGATATCCTTTCAGGTCTTTTGACCAAAGCCCAGCACATCGACATTCGAGTGGCCATCATTCAGACCCTGTTCGACACCCTAGAGACTGAGACAGCTTCGCCCGATGTGAAGAACCGGATTCTGACTGTCATTGAGGACCTCGCCGTGCCACTTGCAGCATCTCTCGATGAGCTTCATCCAATGACAGAGGATGATTGGACGCAAGCAGAAGCTGATGGCGCTCTACCCGAAGTGGCCAATGCGAAGGATCGATCTGCAGCTCCTATCCGGTCTCTGTTCTACAATTTGGAGATGAAGCTCTGCAACGATCCTGTATCCAAAGCAAAGCTGGTCGGTATCACGCATCGATTGATATTGCAGTCCGCAGAGAACAACAGACGGTGGTTAAAGTTGTTTCTCAAGAAGAATGGCTTCTCGTTGCCTTCTGGGGAGAGCCTCCCACTCTCGCCAGTCGACCCTGCCATGCTCAAGATCTTTCAGAGAACTCCGGTGTACTTCTCGCGACCGATGCTTGGGATGCTAAGCCGGTACGTTCTTGCCAACGTTCGACCCTCTCCCGGCATGGCAGCCGTCACGAAGAAGATCGAAAGCAATGCTGCCCTAGCCAACTCGAATGCAGGAAGACACTGGTTGCAGCTCTTCAGCGGAAATGAGGGAAAGATGGTTTCAAGCAATTGGACCTACTGCCTGGAGCATATACATCTACCACATATGAGCAAAGAAGTCGCTAACCCGAACGACCGTATTACCGTTGACATGCTCCAACGTTTTGCGAAAGATTTTGCAGACGGGCTTATCAGCCATGGAGACCCTTCTAACGTTGAGGCGCTGCTCAGGCACAAGTCTGAGGCGATGATGAGGGAGAAGAATCCAGAGACGCTGAAGAGCTGGCAATTGACAACGCAGCCGGTGCTACAATCGGTCATCGCAAGAGTCGAGGAGTTACGCACTCCTTCATGGCAGCATGATCCGATGCGAGAGCCCAAGGCTCTGCCAGACCCATTCCGCCTAAGAGTGGCAATGCTGGCTGTCCCTCCCGGAGGTGCTGAAATGGACGCTTTGTTTGCTAAAGAGATATCGGCATTGATTGACGAGTTGGCAAATGGAGATGCCA